AGGTGATATCACCACTCGGGCCATCCTAGTCAATTTCTGGATGTTGGGTTGGTGTTTGTGGGGCGTGCGTTGGTGTGTGAGAAGCATAAGTACATAACTTGATAGAGTTCTGGTTTTGTTGTTTATGTTATGTGCTTCATGTCTCGTCTTTGCATGTAGGGTTCTGTCCAGGGTGGAGTTAGGCTGACTGGGGGTGTCAACTTAGCCGACCTTGAGGTCGCTTCTCAATTTTTCAGTTCCAAGAGCACGACTTTGTTAGTCGTGTGCGCGGCCGATGTCATTCTCACGCACGCACACACACACACACACACACACACACACACACACACACACACACACACACACACACACACACAGAGCTAGTCCTTGCGCGGCTTGGTGAGCTTGCTGGGAAAGACGGAGAGGGTGAGGAAGCACTGCCCGACAAAGTAGAGAAGGTGGATGATCTCGTGCGCGTATGGGACGGGCGTCACGAACTTGCCAATGGCGATGGTGAGGTCCGAGATGGTAAAGAGCCACGCGCCGATGGTGGCGGCAGTGGTGTTGTGGTGTGAACCGCACGCCGCCGTCACCTGCATGGTGCTGATGGCAACGGTGTAGAGCACCACGGGCACGAGCAGGTCCTTGTTCGTCTCCAGCATGCTGGGCACGAGGATGGCCAGCGCAGCCACGACGAGCAGGCCGCTTGCCAGCAGAGCAGCGGGTCGCACGCGCAGCCCCGAAGAGAACATCACTGCGTACAGGATGTGGGCGATGAGGAAAGACGCGAGCCCCGCCGTGAACAAGTGCTCGTACAGCAGCGCTGCATCGCCTAGCATGGAGAAGAAGAGCGCTCCCAGCGTCAGCGTCCAGGTGCGGGTCGTGAGCTGGGCTGGCCGCTTGAGGGCCAGCACAATCGCTTGCAAGGCGGCGATGGTGGTGCACTTGAAGCCCACGCGCACCAGCTGCTCTGTGCCCAGCAAGTTGGGGAAGAACGTGTACAGGAGGCCAGGTACGACAGCCAGCGCCATCTGCCCTGCAGCTGCGCTCCGCGGCGACCAGCCACTCTGCTTTCCAGCACCACCTGCCATGATGTCGCTGTTGGTTCAGGAGTTGGTTCAGTGTGCTTGCTTGCTTGACTGACTTGCTTTGTTTGGGTTTCTGCGTGTGCGGATGTCGTGGTGTGATATGAAATGATCTCTGTCACCACCTCTCAGCCCTCTCGGCTTCTCCTGTGGTGTTCACTGACTTGCTTCTTGGCTCGGCACCTTGTGTGTATGGAGGTTGCGCTAAAGGCTACGACAGAAGCAGAGTCGGGAGCACTCGGGCTCATGCTGGTGGTGGTGGTGGCAGGGGCTTGTGATAGATATCAAAGCAGACGGGGCCATTGATCAGGGCGGCAATGTGTGGAAGCATGGCGCAGAAGTCGCTGGAGGCAACGACGCGATATCCCCGCCGGGTGTACCACTTGCGCAGGCGATCCTTGTTGGCGTGGGGTCGGTCGCGGGGGTACAGCAGCTGCAGCTCGCACACGTCGCAGTTGAGCTCTTGCGCTCGCGCCTCGGCTGCATCGAACAAGCGCTTGCCAATGCCTTTGGAGCGGAGATCACGACGCACCGCAAACATGCCCACCTCACCTCGCTTGACCATCTCATGTGCGCTCGGCACGGCCTCCTCGCCACCAGCACTGTCTCTCGCAGCCTCGCTGGTCTGTGCTGCATCTCCTGCCTCTGCTTGTCGCCCTTGCCCGTGCCGTGCTTGCTTAGCGTCGTGCACCACCAGCTTCATGCAGCCAATGAGGGACGCCTCTGTGACGATGGATGGCCAGTCCAGCGGATGCTCTGCACTGTCAAGCTCCACACGCAGCGCCGGTCGTGCTTGCTGCTGCTGCTGCTGTTGTCCTTCTTCTTCCGCTGCTGCTGTCGTTGTTGCAGCCTGCGCGGTCTTGTCATCAGTGGCCGTGTCCTCCACGACAACCAAGAGCTGTTGTCGCTTCGCAAAGCCCTCCACATCGGCGGGCGAGGTGCGCTGGAAGCCCTCTCGGAAGATGTCGCCTTCCCCATACATGTACGCCTCGTTGATGATGTCCACAAGCCGCTGCAACACCGCAGGCCGGCCCTCAAACGTGGCTGCCGTCGCAGCCACCACCCGCATGCTCACGCGCAAAGAGGACGCGGAAGGGACGGGATGAAGAGATGAGTGACAGCAACAACGATGACGACTCCTCACTTTGTAATGTAACAAACGCACCACACGACAAGCAGCAAAGATGAGTTTGCGGGAGGTTGTGCAGAGTGTGGTGAATGGCGGCGGTGGTGGTGTCGAGTGGACGGATGTGGTGTTCTGGGCGAGCTGTGTGGCGGCAGCGCCCATCTGGGGCGCAGCGGTGTTGTTCCCCAAGGCCAAGCAAACCTGTGTCCTGTTCCAGCACTGCATGCTGGCGGCACTGCCGTTCGCGGTGGCCTTTTCAGTGCTTGTGATGCAGCAGCTGGAGTGGTGGCTGACCCGCTTCATTGCCGCAGACCTGTCACTGGCATACCTCGTGCAGAGCTTCGCCCAGCCGTCCACCTTCCTGCTCCTGTGGCTGTACATCCTTGGCTTTGACATTGCCGTGTTTGGCTGGATGCACCAGCGCCTCATGCAGCGCCGCGCGCCGGCGCTGGAGATGACCGTCTGGGGCCTCGTCACCGCAGTGTGCGCCCCGCTCGCGCTCGCGTGCTTCACCGCCCTCCACTACGCAACACCGCTCGTGGACCAGGCCTCGCCGCCTAATGCTGCTGCTGCCATCAAGAGGGACGAGAAGCAGAAGGAGAAGCAGAAGGAGAAGGAAGGCAATGACGCCAAGAAGATCACAAGCGAAAACGCCAGCAAGAAGCGGGACTAATGATGATGGCCCATCCTCTCCGCGGGCACCATGGACCTCTGCCGCTGTAAACGGTAAGGTTACAGATGGCACGGCTCAACGACTGCAAGACGAATCAAATGAAAGCAGCAAGCAGGAGAGACGTGACAAGAAGGATCATCTCTGTTGTCTTCGTGTGTTCTTCACACACACACACACACACACACACACACACACACACTTGCCATCGCGTGTGTCGCCTTTGCCAAGTTCAGTGCACGGAGTAAAGATAAGCGACTGCCCTTCCTATCTCTCAACTTGCTGATGCATTGTGACGAGTGGTCATATGTACTGATGTGAAGCCCAGCACACACACACACACACACACACACACACACACACACACACACACACACACACACACACACACACACACACACACAAATGTTGGTCAATCAGACATGTCCTCGGTGGAGATGTCGAGGTCCATATCGTCATCATCGTCATCTCCACCACCACCACCACCACCACCACCATCCCTGCTGCCACCAGCGGTCGGGGTTGTGAGCTGCAGGAACGGTGCATTTATGCCACGCTGCTGCTGCTGTTGTTGCTCTTGCTGCTGGGGTGTGGCTGCTATGCCTACGGGTGACCGGATCAAGTCCTCTGCGCGGAAGGGATGGGTCAACGATGATGTCTGCAGCGTCGTGTGCACACCACCTGCACCGCCCGCCTGACTGCGATCGGCGCGCCCGCCCTCGTGCAGCTGCCGCAGCAGCTCCTTTGCACGCTGCTTCGGCTGTTGTTGTGTTGTGTTGTGTTGTGTTGTGTTGTGTTGTGTTGTGTTGTGTTGTGTTGTGTTGTGTGTGTGACGAATGGAACGGTTGGATCATCGCGAAACAGGTCAAAGCACACACACACACACACACACACACACACACACACACACACACGTCTCTCCCCTTACCTTGCCGCCGTAGGAGATGAGGACGTTTGCGTACTTCTCAACCTGCTCGCGGTCCTTGCGCCGCATAAAGTAGTCGCTCAGGAACTCGCACGCCTCCAGAATGTTCTCGTCGCTGATGATGATGTTGCCCGTGTCGTCAAGCGATATCGTCTTCAGATAGTAGAAGGCAGCCTACACGTGTATGTGTATGTATGTATTCGTTGGGGGATGGTGAGGGAGTGCGCGTGCATGAGTAAATAGATGAGTGGCGCAGCATTCATGGAAACCTCATGCGGTGCGTGTGTGCGTGCGTGTGATGCATGGTACAGCGTCACGGCACCTTGTCTGGGTTGAAGACATCGTCTCTGTAGATCTTTGCAATGCGATGCAACACCGTGACGTCATCCTCGTTGAACGAGAGAATGTTCTCCAGGCACTTGATCGCCTGCCCATAGTGCTGCAGCGCCTGGTACACCCCCGCAAGCGCGTCCCAGATGCGCCGGTCATACGGCCTGCACATGCACACGTATGATGTAAGTGTGCGCATATGGTGCATGTGTGCGCGTGTGCATGTGTGCGCGTGTGCATGTGACGTGATTAACATTGTTCAGTTTGGTACTAAAGTGGAAGCAAGCAAGCAGGCGGGCAGGTTGCCTCGCTCGTCGCATGCGGCCCTACAGATACACGCAGGCATGGTCATGCATGTGCGCACACGACATCGCACCTGAGGCGGAGGGCGCGCTTGTAATAGTATAGAGAATACATTGGCATCTTGAGCAGGTCGTACGCATATCCAAGGTTGGACCAGCCGCGATAGTCGCGTGGGTTGATGTCTGTCACACACACATACACACATGCATGTGGCGTGTGCACAGCAAGTGCTGAGCCGCTATTGTTCACAAACGGAGCACACCAGAACAGAAACAACCAGAGCAACGAACACCATGAGCACAGCAGACGTGAACAGCAGCTGTGGCGTGCTTACCGACAGCGCGACGCAGGGCAACAATGGCTGCGGGCGCATTGTGCAGTTCAATGTACTCGTGCCCAAGCAGCGTCCATGCAGAGAGGCATCTGTGCGGATAGGGAGGAGGGGAACAAGTCGCATTTGAACGTTTCAAGCACAGAACCACCAATGAAACAAACGAAGCCAATCGTGAACACACACACACACACACACACACACACAGACACACAGACACACACACAGACACACAGACACACACCCACCCCCCCCCCCCCCCCCCCACATAGAGGCGGACGAAAACCCCCGAAGGCAAGGTGCAGGTGGAAAAAGCATGCACGCAGGGCTTGAAGTCACAAGTGTCAAAAAAGGATTTGGGCGCGCATAAAATGACTTTTTCTTTGGAGGCGAGTTCTTTGGCGGGTGATGTAGATGGCTTCCCTACGCCTCTTTCACACCGCAGCGTGGCCTGCAGCACAATCAACCCTGTGGATTAGTCTAATGACTGTCGGCTCAGATCGTAGGACTATGTGCCGGCCGGC